TTTAAAAAGTGTTAAAAGTGCCTTAAGTGATAGTTAGTGGGCTAGTCCTTTAATTCAGTTAGAAGAACAATCGCCTGACAAATGAATGTTCCCGGGTTTGATCTTGACCCTAATAAATTCAAAATAAGAATCCTACCGAAAAAGCGGGAATCCAGTGATGCTGAGACAAGACCCAATGACAGACCTTGTTTATCAGAAAGGAAGAATATGGTAGTATGAATAATTAGAAAGTACACTTTATAGCTAAGGGTGGAATTCCAGCTCTATTGTCTATCGTCTATTGTCTATATGTATAATTGTTCTCCACTTTAACGAGGTTATATAGGTTTAACAGTAAAACTTTTTTAGATTCCCTTCAATTCTCTTTCGCGCAAGTGATTGATTTTGTTTAAAGATGATATCGCTCGTCTTAGAGTGGCTGTTATTGTAAATTATAACAAAACATAAAATTATCATTAGCTATTAAATATATTCAGTACTTCAATTTGGGTCACTGGGCCACTTTAGGCACATGATGTTTGTAAAGTTTTGAAACTGGTGAAACTCGTTTCCTACTTTAGTTTCGTTTCTGCTTCTTAGTTTAGAAGTATACAAATATATGTGTGAGGGATTTTGTCTGAGTTACAATTCATACTACCAAATTTTAAGTTGATAAAGTGATTTGAAAATTACATATATATTTTTTATCAATATTATTATGTACGTATTTTCATTAACATAATTTATAATATATATATACATAGTTACTTTTAGAAAATGAATCAACTGATATGTTTTAATTGACACCTTAAATGTTATTCTCAAAATACATGAATAATAGTTCTTTTCTCGTATTCAGACTATCTTGAATTTCCAGCACCATTCAAAATCAATAACGTTTTGAAAGTAAACATAATCAAGAGGTGTCAAAGTGGTTTAAAGTTAAAATTCATGACCATCACTGAGAACGATATTTATGTAAAATACTTCAGAATTGGAAATATGATAATAAAGCCGTCAATGGGCGATCTTTAATATATCCTTTTGAAATTCATTATTTACTTTACGAAAAGAAACCAGCTACAAACTGTTTTTTTTTTACCTAAAAGAATCATGTTGTTACATGGAATTTTTATATATATATATACCTAAGTATACCTATACGTCTATCCTATTTCTGTGAAGCTGGTTTTAGATTGGTAACCAGAGCGCTCGACTACCATTCTGCGTGTCATGAGATCGAAACATGTCGCCGAACATGCTCGCACTTTTAGTCATGGAGGAGAGTTATAATGTGACTGCCAACTCCACTATTCGTTGGTAAAAGAGTAAGCTCCAGAGCTGGCAGTAGGCGGGATTAACTAGCTACCTTTTCTCTGGTCTATCACTTCAAAATTAGGGACGGCTAGATAAGTAAATAGTGTTATTTGATGCTCCGTTTCTTCTAAATATTAAAACCAGTTTAGCTCTATATATATCTATAATAGCTTGTTTGTTTGTTTCATTAGAGCAAAGCCACATTGGGCTATCTGCTGTGTCCACGGCGCGTAATCAAAACCCGAATTTTATCGTTGTCTGTCCGTAAACATACCGCTGTCTCATTGGGGGAAAATCTATGATAGCACCAGCTGTTTTAAAAAATGGAAATAAAAAAGCTTTATTCAACACTGATTCATTTTGAAGGTTTCATGTGTCTCCGATTTTCTTCAATAAAGATGGTTAAATTGCCAGTTTATTTCTTAAATATTCCTACTGGTTTGTAATAGTATAGACTTAGAGAAAAAAGTACTTTGATGACTGCTCAAATGCTACTGTCCTTGAGAAAGATGAAATAAATATTTACACGGCCTTCGACTTTGTCAGTTCTATCGACACTTGAAATATCGTGACCTGCTTTGAGGCAACCAAACACTATTTTTAAAATCCTTAAGGTGTTTAACCATCAACACACAACGACATAAAGGGTTTAGATTCAAATGAAATTGGAATATTACGAGATTATCATTAAGTTTATTGGCATATTCTAGTGTCTATAAATCGAAAAATAATCAACAGAGAGCTCAAATATTTGGTTGGTGAACTAATGAAAGACGATTCCAGTAATGAAAAGAATCGCCACCATGTGGCTTTGAGTGTAAAAATTTCATACTTGGAACTGTATAAAACTGTCGCCTTGTAAAATAAAAGTAAAATGCTACATTACACTGATAGGCGACCTCTATAGAGACCACTGTTTCAGCAGGTTGTCTTTGAATATATATATATATATATATATATGGTTTTTTCCTCACCCTTCTGTATACTTTTAAACGAAGCTGATTTTCTTTTCCTATTGTATCCACTTTCTGGTTGTCTGAGAAAGTGTCTGTTTTTACTTTACCCTGGACGATGTGATACTGTAACAGTTTACGAGCTTCGTCTGTGTTTTCGTTGAGCTGATGCCTTCTCTCTTCCGGTAATGCTCGAAAAGCTTTGTCAGAAGGGGCGAACACCGTAATGGTGATGTTAGCTTGTATTAGTTCCTGAGCCACGTCGGTAGAGTGCGCTAGTTTAGAGAATGTCTTGAGATCGTCTGATCGTACTGCTAGATCTAAAACACTTCGAACTAGAAGAGAAAACGAATAAAAACATATGTTTATTGTTTGAGCAACAAAAGAAACAAGTTTATGCTTTTAAAAATTAAAAATAATTTATAAGTTTAATTATGATTTACGTTATTTCCATAAGCTTAGTTATACAACTGTACAAATACTCAAGACACTTATGAGCAACCCAGAGGTGTAATTTTACACAACATTTTATGGTATTTTTTTACAAACATATACTAAAGATATGTGACATTTTCAGCCATACTGTTGTTAACAAGTGAAATATTTCAATAACGTGTCGTAATGAAAGTTGCATTAAAAAGAAGATGTTAAATTATCATAATAAAGTTTAAATTTCGTGATATCAGAACTCACCACGTTCTGGGACAAGGACATCAGTGAGCAGATTTATTACTCCGTTTTTGGCAATCATGGCCTCTGACGTCATTTTCACATCATTAACGAAAGTCCCCGATTCATTACAGTGAAAACTGATGTGATTTCCTCCAAGGGTTCGAATTTTGTGCTTATCTATTACTCCAGGTGCACAGATTGTGTGAGGAATCACGTGGTGTCTAAGTAGAGCTATAAAAGCAATACAAACCTAGTATAATTTTTAAACGAAACGTAACTTAGACAATATAAGAGAGGGATAATAAAGTAACAGCATAATGGCAAAATGAAAAACATTACAACTAGTTCAATTTTCATTTCAATTAAATTTTCATACTGACTATCAGGCTACTCGTAAAAAAATGAGTGTTATTATTTATACCTTTTCTTATAAGTCAGTTCTCAAGCGTTTGATAACGTTTCTTTAATTCCTAAATCAGTGTTGCAGCAACATTTCGTTACTTATGAAGTCAAGACGGACAGTTTTATGATATCCATACTAATTTTGAATCATAATAACATTTACGAGTTTATTTAATTTGTAAATTTACTTGTCTAAGCGTACGTGCATACATTCACACATCCACACGCACACACGCACCTATTATAAAGTAAGCACCCAAAATAAATATGACAGTAAAGGGTAAAAAAGATATATTTATATGTTTTTTACCCTTTACTGTCATAATTATTTTGGGTGCTGACCTATATATTTACATACAATCTGAAGAAAAATAGTTACCTTTCAATAAGGTACAAAGATAACATAATTAACATTTAAGGACAACAAGGGACACGTTGGTACATCTAGACTGTCCCATAGACTAAATTAAACTACGTATAGATATAAACTCAAAACCATCCCTTATTATTCAAATTTTTATCAAGTCTTTGCTCAAACTCCCTTAAATTTATCTGCTTCCTCCATTCTAAAGGCCAACTACCCTCTTATAAAAAAAAAGTTCTGTTAGCTAAAGCTGATGCCTACTCTTGCACAATTTATACTTGTGTTCTTTAGTCTTAGAAAAAAAGACGGTGTATCAAGTCCATTAATAATCTTAAATATTCCAAGCATAATCCCTTTAGTTCTTCTTTTCTACACAGAAAACAATTTGAGAGATCTTCCTTGTATGACAACCTTTCCATCCTTGAGGTCTAAATTTTTCTTAACTTTTGTAGTACCAAAACGAGTACATTGTGTGTCGAGATTTATTTAACAACATAAGAGTACCATTTCTTTATTAACACCCAGTCTGTGAGTCAATGAGACCAAATTCGGTAGATTGGGTGGGATATAGAGTGGTGTCACTGTTTCTGGTATTCAAGTTAGAGTAAAAAAAATAAATAAAAATGTTTGCTTTTTAGAGCAAAGCTACCTTATGTTATCTGCTGTGTCCACCACGGGAAATCGAACCCCTGATTTATGTGTTGTAAATCCGTAAACTTACTCTTGTCACACCAGGTGACGTAATAAAAACGTACTCCGATAAAAAATTTGATCTGTTAACCTGAAAACAGTACCCTGTTAAAGAGCCCAATATGTGAACCTAAAAAAAGTACTCTGTTAAAGAGCCCGATCTGTTAACCTAAAAAAGGAACCCCGTTAAATAGGCCAATCCGTTAATATAAAAAAAGTACTCTGTTAAAGAGCCCGATCTGTTAACCTAAAAAAACAACAACATACTTTATTGCCAAAAGAACTCATCTGTCAATAGTGTTCGGCCATGAAGATGCGGAATTTCGGGAGTTGGTCAGACTGTGTTTCTCTTGCACAAAATAATTGAATTGTTCATGTTCAGACACATACCGCATTTAGCCGCTTTACAGCGGCGATTAAGCTTCAGTGAGCATCGGTCATCTTTGTCGAAAAAAACTCGCGAAAACTGCGGAAAAAACGGCTTTATAGAGCTAAAGAACCAGATTTTGTATTGCACAACATATGTGTTTTGTGTGGGATTTTAGTTTTGATTTTTCATAGCGTGAGAACTAGTGCGACTTCGGCCACGCTGATGGTCAATTCTGGTTCCAGATATGAGAATTATAAAGCACTGGAAAGCTTTGTTTGTTTGTGAATCAACCCACCATATGTCTCCCTGACTCGCACATTGGGTGATCAGAAGTTTTACAATCACTAATAAAGATATAACTCAACGACACTCTGTAAATCCCCAGGGTTAATTTATCAATATGTTTCAGATATTCGCGCAAGGCTACACAAATGATATCTGCGGCATTTGTCTTTAATTTCTAGACTGGGAGAATGTAGCTAATCAGTAGCACTCACCGACAACTCTGATCAAGTAGTGGAATATAAACGTTGCTCTAATAACGTACCGATTCTATGAATCGTAAGCTCAGTCCTGGACTCCGTAAAAGGTGCTGTTACATTCTACTGATGTGCTAACAACCCCACGTTCTGTCCGGTGGAATCGATACAGAGCGTCAAGTTTAGTTCTGTCGATGTAGTAACGTTGGTCTAATCTTCACAATGACTATTTACGCTAACCGTCCAAAATTTTGAATTGATAGAGTAGAGGGAAGGCAACTATTCAACAGCAACCATCATTAATTCTTGTCTTATTCTAACAAAATAATTGGATTAAACCCTCACACACGGGTTTATAATGTGCACACACACGGTCTTAAAATTCGAAACACATGTTTGCAGTAACGGGATATGAACCAAGGACCATCGGATTCACAATGTATCCAAGCTAGCCACATATATCTGTTAGATATGTTGATAATAGGATTTTTACTAAGTGTTTCTAGAGCTACCAGGTTGCTCGATGTTATGTTTTTCACCTATTCCTCAAACACACAGAAAGTCATACCGTTCAGCTAGTTTGTGTATTAAATTCGGTTAGTTCGTCTACATGTTTCTAACCAAGTTCAATAATTAATTACAAGTGTTCAGCTAAACTTGGCAAATTTATCGTTCATCTAAATTCTGTAATTCATAATGTTTTTTCCAGGTAATTTGATATAGTTTCAAAATCTTGAACAATGGTTACTCGGGTCAGAGTGTAAAATCTTACTTAGAGTTACAGTAACATATTATTTAACCTAGGATCTTTATTCGGCGTAAGTTTTGTTAGAATAACCCACAAAGTGATGATGTGTTGATTTAATTTAATTTAAGAAAATGTCAACAATTTTTATGTGTCTACAAAATGAATAAAACCAGAAAAGATTGTAATATTTTAGTTTACCATATATAGAGGGTTGAGTACATTATTCTAAAACAATATCGAATATGCAAATCGGCAAACCACGTGACAACCACAGCCGATGTAAAGTCGCTGTGGAATAGCATATATGTGAACTACATTTTGAATATTTTTGGTGTTCTAGAATAGTGTGATTCAACCGAAAATTGATCACTTTTGGGAGAATGATATGTAACACTTCTTTCCGAGGCAAAATATTCCCACGAAATGTTATGTAATGTATTAAGGAGGAAGGCTATTCTTTAGAGGTGACTTCCTTAGGACGTAGTCTTTTGCAATGAAAATTACGCTGCAGGGATGTTGTCAAGATTTGATATCGTATGATTGGACGTGGCGACATGGGCTGTAACGACACAGCGAGGCTCCAAAATCGTTTTAATATAACGTACCCGAACTCCGTACGAGTGATCTGGTCACGTTACGTTTATGGTATACAGTTTCTACAACATATTTTATTTAAGTTTCTTTTTTATTACAGTGGACATCAATTTAGGTACTGAGCACCAACGAAAAACAAAACAAAAACATATCTAGCTACAACTTTGTTGCTTCTTTTAATCATTGACCTCTTAAGTACAGAGAATATGTGTTCGGTTTCTCAAAGTTCAAGTTTGGCAGAACTCCAACAGAACGATCTTAAAGAAGGATAGTAGATTATAGGCGATATCATCGCGAGCCACACAAATAAAATGTAAACTGATACTTTGTAGCTTACTCCAGGTTATTTACCAAAACGCTCTTAGAAAATTATTCAAGAAGTATTTTATATTTTCTTTCATAGCTATAGTATGTAGGGGAAAACAGAGACACGGTGGAATAAAAAGAGAAAATAGCTTTCTATATTTTTCGAAACACTTAGGATATTACTATTTTTACGTGAACCGTGGTGTCTGTTCAAACGTTCGTCTGTCTCCCGTTCGAAAAGCTGCACACAACATTCGTTTTTGAAATGTTTGTTTTATAACTTTCGTGCAAAGTTACACGAGGGCTATATGCGCTT